AAAAAGGCCACCGTGTGGAGTGCATGGTTTTTTGGGACCTAGTTCCATGATGGCAGTATACATACAAACATATATATATATATATATAGATATGGCCTCTCTTGGTTACCTGTAAGAATCGAAGGCCAAAATTTGGGTAGGCTCGCTTCGCGGGGTGCCAAGGAAGAGCGGAGCTTCTCTGTGTAGACAGGCAGCCATTTCCACATGGAACACTAGGGGGCTTAAGGTTGAGGGTTTAGGGTTGAGGGTTTAGGGTTTAGGGTTGCCCAGTTTGTCGAGGCTGTTCTTAAGCCTACTGAGAGGCCCAGGGGACTTAGTAAGTCGGTTATACGTAGGGTTATGATTGGGGGTAACTCCACTTAGGCTACTTGTAACTCTACTTAGAACCGACTTACTAAGTCCCCTGGGCCTCCAAGCAGGGGGCTTAAGGTTGAGGGTTCAGGGCTTGGGGTTTAAGGCTTTAGGGTTTCCGGGTTTCCGGGTTTACGGTTTCCGGGTTCAGGGTTTTAGGGTTTTGGGTTCAGGCTTTAGGTTTCAGGGCGTAGGACTTAGTGTTCATGGCTGGGGATTTAGGGATTGGGGCAGTTTCGGGGACCGCATATCTCCGAACGCGACTGCATGATGGCAGCTACACAGCATTACGTACATTCTCCCAAGCTTGAACCCAGAATTGCCAAGAAGGAGCTGTCTGATCTATAACTAGTCTAAGCCAACCTGTCGCAATTCTTTGCCCTAAACCCTAAACCCCACGCTGGAGACACTGCTTTAATCGGAGTGAAGCAGAGGACTAAACTTCACCTTATCCCCTTAAGCCTTCAGTCGTAATGTCGGGGCCTTCATAATTAGAATAACAAGGTTTTTTTTGTTGGGGGGGGGGGGGGTATGTTATACCTTTCTTGTTTTAGGTAAGGAAACCCCAAACTAGTATAGGTTATGTTTAAGGTTAGGGCGCGGGATTCACCGTGATGCCCTCCTGCAAGGGGTTTTGCGTGTTGGCTTGTTTGGTTGAGGGCTGAATCACCGAAAGATTTCCTTCTATGTGGCTCTAAGTAGGGCTAAGCGCCTTTCATTAGAATTCGTTACCGTACCTCTAAGCCTATGTCCCTTTAGATGGGTCGTTCTTTCCAACACGCCCAACATGCTTGTGTAAAGACAACCATACATACCCCAGAAAGATTCACGAGTACCTTTCAAAGCCCCAAAGGCTCTACAGGGATTTGTTAAGGGCCAGAGTCCTTCATCGCCAAGCCTTCCAGCCTCGATCCTAAACCCCGAAAATCCGGACCCAACACCCCCGAAGGCCTAAACCTTCAGCCCCCAACCCCGCCACCCCAAAGCCAAAGCCCTAGACCCTGAACCCTAAAATCCTAACTTTCCCTCATTGCAGCCTCGTCCAGGGTTCATCGGTAATGGCTCCTCTCGAGTCGCTGGCCTCCCGGCTGCCAAAACAAGTTGAATAGAGGGGTCGGAATAATTATCAATATTCAGGGCATGGGGTTGAGAGTTCAGGGTCTAGGACTTCCAGGTACTACAGTCGTCGGGAAAAGACACTTAAATAACTAGGATGTGATCGTAGTACGGAAGGCCACGGCTATAGTACAATATACCCCGAAACCTCCCCCTAAACCCTAACTAAACCCTGAACCCCAAATCCTGCAATACCTGAAAGATTTAGACTTAAGCTTTGGACATGATTGTCATATAGAACCCAGCAGACTTAGTTATCCTATTTGTTCAGGTTTATTGTGATATGTCTCGTTACGCCTATACCCCCCCCCCCAAAGCCCTGGGGTAATTGTGAAGGCCCGCTTCGTACAGTAATAATTACAGGTACTTCTTAGTTGTGCGCATCATCAGTTTCGGTATCGTGAGTGTCAAGGGTCGATGTATACTGCCAATGGCCTAAGGGTTTAGGGTTTAGGGTTTCAAGGTACCCAAATAGTACATACTTTGGTGGCACATGGGCCCCCATACCCTAAACCCTAAACCATCAACCCTAAATCCCTAAACCCGAAACCCTCAAACCCCTATGACACGTCGTCTGTAAAACCCTCTTTTCGAACCCTTCGGGCACACGGACCCTTTGAGAATAGGGAGTTTGGCACCGCAGACGAAGTACGGAAAGTCTGCTGGCTTTGATCATGGTGATGTGTATGAATCCTTGGGATCTCTCCTTTATAATTAACTGTTCTTGTTTGCGGGAGGGGGCGGTTCAGCTGTTGTCATGTGCTGGTTCTGGTTGCTCTGTAGCTCTGTCGAAGTCTGACACAACCGCCCTTCCACACTGTCCTGCATAGTTTCTCTACCGAACACTTGGGTTATGTAGGCGCCACCAAAAGGACGTAAGCATTAGCATTTTACAAGGGTATCCCCAGCTTATTGGGCTTCATCGTATTAAGGATTCATGGGATATCCCTGTCCGTTTTATGCTTGCGTGCTGTTTGTGAGCCCTATTATGGTACAGTACGTCCCCAGCATCCGGCTCGACTGTGTGAGGCTCGAAGTTGCCCTGAGGATCCAAGTACCCAAATGGTAGGGTTTAGGGTTTAGGGTTTAGGATTTAGGATTTAGGGTTTAAGCATGTACGTCAGCTGTTTATAACTCTATTTATAAAAGTCCAAGTACCCAAATAGTAGGTCTTCAAGTTTCAAGGTCCCAGGCCATTCAGAGTCTGGATTTGGGAAATTAGGGCCTTACTATGCGGGTGCTCGGGCCCTTTGGGTTCGTATTCGTTGCCTCTGACACTTCATGGTTTAGGGCATAAGGGCCCATGTGACGAAATAGTATATACTTTGGCCTGAATTAGTCCCGCGCATAAACCCTAGACCCTAAACCCTAAACCCAATAATTATTATGGGGTATGGGGTATATGTGGTACGCGCTGTGTATCAAGCGAAATGTGGGCAGAAGGATCGCAGACTGTGGGCGGTGGGTTCATTTAGGGCTTAGGGTTTATCGGAATCGTTTTTTGTTTGTAGTTTTTTTTTTTGGGGGGGGGGNNGAAAGGGGGGGCATCTTGCATCTTGCTTCTGCAGCAGTAGCAACTGCATGTGTCTCGCCATAGCTCAGTAAAGTCCCACATGCTTTGTGGTTTCATGTAAGGATGATAATGACGAAGCGACACTGCTAATCGGATCTTACTTCATCGGGTACTTCAGCGATGTGATTGTTCTTCAGTTCTCAGTTATCCTAGACGGTAGCATACGAGTTACATTTCATGTGACCGGAGACTGTAGTACTTACATGAAGACTAGTAACTTAAAGAACAACCTTTGACCCGTCATGTTTGTCGTGTGCAGGTTCAGGTTCACAGCATAGCTAGATAGCGTGACTCATGGTTGACCTGTGTGCAGTTTGTATTGGACAGGTGTTGGGTACAGTCTGTTTCCCAATCCAGAAGGGTGACCTGGTGTCTCTTCGGGCTGATCGAACATTGGCAGTCCTCACTGTAATCCTAAACCCTAAACTCTCTCTATGGAACCCTAAACCCAATTCCGTGTTGGTTGCCCGTGACCGCTACTCTTGGCACATGCCGAGCATCTGACCTTTATGTTGAGGGGGGTGAACCAGGTATGACCATTCGATAATTTCACTATTCCTAAACCCTAAAACCGCACAGGATTGCTAATGCTCTGAAAGCCCCATCAAATACGTGAGGCCCAACGGCTTTAAGCTGCTTGCGGTCAATTGTTCCAGCGCTCGGGGTGAGCTGCTTTGTAGCTCAGTATTTAGAATTGCCGTTCTTTTACGTTTGAACCTCGCCTTAATCCTAGCTATAAATAAGTTACTTCCAACCCCAAAAGAAGAACCACAGTGGATACTCTAGGTAATCTCCTCAGCCCTTCTGCGCTAAGCCCTGCCCTAAACCCTAAAACCCTGAATACTTCTAGGGAATAATCAGCCCCTATGCAACCCCCCAAAAATCTCTGAACCTACGTCTACATTTAGTCTCCATCGCAGTTGTTATTTGGGTTCCCGTTGTTGTGCGTAGGATCGTAGCCGGAAAGTTGAGTTCATGCTAGCTCCCGGTTTAAGCTTTGTTGCCTAGGGTTTATTGTTAGGTTTCTACTGCTACGTCAAGGCTCTGCTGCATGAGGTATTCACATAAAGCTTCGTAAGACTGACTTTGCCTAGAGAAGAACTCGTGTCCCAGGTTACGTCCCTCAGTGACATGTGAGTGCCGCGCTTCGTGGGTGAGGACGCCTTACCGGAGCTTGTATGAACGGTGCCGAAACTTCAAGACAGTTGTAGCTTCACTCTGGGAACCGGCTTGCATACTCGTCGATCGTTTAGGGTTTAGGATTTAGGGTTTAGGGTTTAGGGTTAGTCTCTCTCCTACATAGCTGGCACGGTCACATGTTGTGTTCAAGGCTATCTATTTTTTGGCAATGTGCACAACAATAGTGACCCCACGTCGGCCAGGACCACAGAAATCGCGAACACCCTCCCAGCACTGCCAGTCATCACCGCCGGCGCAGCAGCGTCACCATCAACAATAACTGTCCTGGCAATGGCCGTAAGCTGATTCTGATAGATGGTTATCAGTAGAGCCCAGCAGTACAGTTCTCGACCTCAACACAGCACCTACTGATCACCATGTAATTTGTTCGGGTGCATTTGGCATCGGCTAGCTGTCTTGAGACGACAAAGGCGCCATATCGTTTCCTCTGTCAATTCGACAGAAGCCCTGCGGTACATCCGTTGTGCTTCGAGAAGTGCAGATTTTGACTCGAGAGCTAAAGCTCCCGAAACCCCGTTTTGCCATCCGAGCACCTGGAAAAGCTCGCCTGGCTGGATATGGCGGGTTTCAGCACCATAGGCCATAGGGGTTACACCCGTTTAATTACGGGCATGTTATTAAGACTCGACTATTGGGAATAGATAGTGGGGCCTGGATTTTGACACTCCCCTGGCGTTCCTCTCTGCTACTGATAAGAAATTTGACATCCGGACCCGTTGGCTCTAAGGACTCATGTTTTAAGACTATTGGCCCTAAACCCTATAAACCCTAACTTCGGCTTTGTTGCGCCTTTGGGGTCGACTATGGCAATGACCCTTCGTATCGGTGTAGTTGCGGTGCTTTCTCGTGCTTGGAGATTTCTCGTGGTTGCTGCCACTAGTCGGGGGGTTCAGGGTTGCTATAAGAGCTTTGGAGTTGCTGTCGGTGCATGAGTCCAGAGGCTTAGACTATGCCTAGAGGGTCCATATATACGTCCATTGCGGAATTAGGTCCCAAAGAACCATCCTTATTGTGGTTTTGGGGACCTAATGCCATACTAGTAGTATATACGGACCCTCAGGGATAAAGATGACCCGAGAAGAACTTTACTCATATCCCACGATTTTTGACTTTGGCATCTTTCAGGGTGTTGGCTTTCAGATGCATGTAGAAATTCACTGTTCATCCCGCTTGACCACAAGTTTATCCTAAACCCCTGATAAATTTGAACCCTAAACCCTAAACCCTAAACCCTAAACCGTGGGCTTTAGACTGTCATGCATACATAGATACCTGCCTATCTGTCTACTCTACTCGTCCCGTCACTAATTCTGCGGCCCAAGTGTACGTTAGTCCGACACGTTTTAGCGAACTGCTGTTGGTGATATAAACCCTGCATTACCTTAAGGACCCGAAACTATGGGAATTATGGTATATTCCTTAGTATTTGTAATGCAGGATTTATATCATCAACCGTGTCAACCCCGGTAGCCCCAAGACCCCCAACCTCACACATTGAAGCTCAAATCCTGATCCTTGAACCCTGAACCCTGACCGAAACCCTTTCAATAAATCGGTTTAGGGTTTAGGTTTTAGGGTTGACCGAAACCCTATGAATAAATCGCAGACCCCAGTCCCAAGCCTTTTATCCGACACCCTGAAGCCCTAGCCCTCCGAACCTTATGCTGAAAATCCCAAACACTGAACCTCTTACTCCAGCCACCATAAACACCCCAACACCCTGAAGCCCAAAACTCTAAAACCCTTCAAAAGCCCCAACATCTTGAAGTCCAGCCTCAAACCCTAGAACCAAAAGCTCATCCCTAATCCCTAAACCCTAAACCCCAAACCCATCGCCAAGGCCGTCGAGAAAGAGAAGGACAGCAAAGCCTCTACCAGTCGCCGCGCATCCATCGCCAAGGCTCTGGGGGCGTGGGAGTGTCGGGGTTTAGGGTTCAGGGTTTGGGGTTCGTAGGGTTTAGGTTCTAGGGTTTAGGGTCCAGGGTTTAGAAGCCTTATTAATTGGGCTTCTCTGTCGCGAACAATGGCATATGGGGTTCCTGCATGGTTTTCACGATACGATTAAGGGTTCGAGGTGGATGAATTTGGGGTGCGGGGCTTCGCCCTGAGGGTCCATGTATCCAAATGGTAGATACTTTGGCCCTAAAGTAGTTCCTAGACACCGAACCTACTGTTTAGGGTTGTGATTTTCAGGGATTAGGGATTCATCGGGGCATACCTAGAATACCCCATGTAACCGTACCTTTAAATAATCAGGGATGCGAGGTCATCTCCGTTTAGGGATTATAGGCTTAGGGATTGGGGAGCAAGAGGATGCGGATTGTCGTGCCTAGTGGTGTCAAGTTTGGTGTTTGCGCACAGAATAGATAGATACGTCCTTGTATCGTTTGTACGCGTGCGTGTCCATGTATATAGATATACATACATACATACATACATACATACATACATACATACATACATACATACATACAAATATATATATATATATATAGATAGATAGATAGATAGATAGATAGATAGATAGATACAGATATACCTATGCATATATATATATATTAATATATATATATATATATATATATTAATATTAATATATATATATATATACATACGGGTATTTTAACCAGTGTACACATAACGGTAACATTATGTGGCAGAGGCGCGCAGGCTTCAGAGGTGTTGCGCCCCCATCACTGAAGGCCTGTTCTTTAAGTACAAAGCTCTGTAGAAGAAACCTAGAACCTCTGAAACAGTTCAGGGTTTAGGGTTTCGGGTTTAGGGTTTAGGGTTTAGGGTGGAAACAGAAACCCAGAAGAAACCTGTCATTGCCAACAGAAGCCCTGAAACACCCTGTAGTTCCCTACCCCTAAACCCCGAAACCCCTAAACCCCTAAACCCCTAAACCCCTAAAACCCCTAAACCCTGAACCCCTAAACCGCTAAACCCCTCACCCCCTAAACTTCTAAACCCCTAAACCCCTAAACCCCGAAACCCCTCAACCCCGAAACCCCTAAACCCCAAAACCCCTAAACGCCTAAACCCCCCTAAACCCTAAACCCTAAACCGACCCTGGCTCCGAAGCTACCATTCCGTTGCCGACCAGGGGACGTACACCTCGGAAGGGTCCACCAACCGAAGAGCATCTGTCTCCAAGGCATTGGGTGAATTTTCGTGGCCGGGTTTAGGGTTCAGGGTTTAGGGCCTAAAAAACAACCAATACTGTTGATGATATAAATCCTGCATTACCTTCAGGACCCTACACTACTGGAATTATGGTATATTCCTTATTATGGGTAATTCAGAATTTATATCATCAACCATATCAGCGAATATAGTTCCTTACGGGTTCCTTGTTGTAATTATTACAGGAGCCCAAGACCCAATTCTCCTTATGACGGCCTGTACTATTAGGCTGGTCAATGTTTGAGGTGTAACGTGTAGGGTCAGCGATTGTTGGGGCTCCACGCTAAACCGTCACTTTACGGGGTTCTTGAGCGTGCTCGGGGGTTTCACAAGGCTCGGATTGTTTGCTCCCCGCAACCCCATAGAAGCACTTCATTTGGGGTTCCTTCCGTTTTTTTGCAATCTGCTGAAACATAGTGCCTTCATGACAAACCGCAGTGAGACTAGCTAGCAGTCTATACCATGAAGCTTACCTGTGGCCAACCCTACAATAAATAGTAGGTTATTTCATAATCATGGTTTGGGCTCATGTACCTCTACAGAAACAACTTGGCTTTAAAGGGGTTCTTCCTGTATAGGCACATCAGGGTCAATGACTGCAACTCTATAGTACACAGAGACGCCAATGTCTCTTCACCAAGAAATAGACCTGCCTTATGCATCGTTTCGAATAAAGATATCAAGTAATATAGAGGCCTTTAATAATCAGAATAGGGTTTGGGGTATATTGTACTGTAATTATTTATAATAAAGAGGCCCCAAAATCCCTATTCTAGTTATTAAGGCGCCCACATTCTATTGCTTAGTCAAGGGGTCTTGGGCTTTTCGGGTCGGCATGGCCAGGAAGTGTGCTCGACCTCATCCCACATGGACATATGCCAGCCTTTGCCATTCCTTCAGGGCAGCATTCTCCGGGGTTTCGGCGGCAGCGGAACGGCACAGAACTATTTCAGCGGTGAGCCGCTAGAAGAGCAGAAAACAAAGTCTGGAGTCAAGGCAAATCTTCCTATTGAAATCGTGTTCGACGCGAAGGAGATTTTGGATTCTGGCAGCGACGTCTTCCTGACTGATTCTGCTGGTCACTTGACCCCCGAAGAGGGTCTTTTCATCAACGACAGTGCTCAGGACACTAATTGCTGGTCTCGCTATAGACATAGGCCATATGCCGTCACATAGGGGTCTGAATGTCTAGTATCTATACTGTCTTGTAGTAATTTAGGGTTTAGGGTTTAGGGTTTTATACCCCAAGCCCCATTCTGCTGCTTCAGGCCCCTACAGCATTCGCTGCAGTCCCCTACAGGGGAGATGTCAAACACCAAGCTGAAGTCATGTAACCCAAAGGGTCCAAGTAATGTAGGGCCCTAATAATTACCGATACTATTTTGGGGTTCCTTGTTCTGATTATAGTTTAATGGGCCGCCCCAAACCCTGTTCTAATTATTGAGGCCCCTGTATTAATTGTGTAGTAATGTATAGTAGATACTTTTGGGCCCCAGTTATCTACTAAGTACCTACTATATCGGCACTTGGACCCTTAGGGTAAGCTAACATGTAGCAGGGGTGTGCCGCAAGACCCGAGTGCACCAGATACAGGATTTAGGGTTTAGGACAGGATCCCAGCCGCTGGGCCTAAACTCGTCAAAACCCCACAACGCCTCCAAGCACTGCAAGCCCTCAAAGCCATAGAATTGAGCCTTACCAGCCCGAATGAAGCCGTTTTAAAAGACCTTCTAAGTTCTACAAGCCCATAA